ATATTTCTATTCTCTTTTATTTTAATTTATAAATTAAGTTTTATCATTTTTAAATAAAATATTAATAGTTAATAATAGTCTTATAACACAAGTTAAATTATTTATTATAAATTTAAATTTAAAAGTTCATAAAGTATGTCTAGTATCATGTTCCTATATTTTAACGTCAATCACATCACAAATAATGTGTATTTTTTTTTAGGAAAAATTAAATATCTAAAATTCTATTTTATTATAAATTAAAAAATATTATATTTTGTTTACATTGAATGATAAAAAATGAGTGATTAGAAAAGAAAAAGAAAAGGAAAGGAAAAGATAGTAAAAAATAAATTATTTAGATGAAAAAAATAAGAATAAGTGAAAAGTAAAATTATTTTTTTATTATTAATAACTTTATTTATTATTTTAATATTTTAACATTACTCATTATAATAAAAATAAATAAATATTATTATAAAATTCTAATATAATTAATTATGTCCTTTTACCTAAAGGATTATATTATTTTATTACTTTTTTCTTTTTGTATATATAATTCTAAGTATTTTTTTTAAGAAAATTTTATATGTTAAATAAAATAAATTAATAAAAAAAATGTCTGCTTATATTTTTTGCGTCGAAATCTAAATAAGCTGTTAAAAAGTTAAAGATTCAAATAAAACTAGAAGCTTTATTTTAATTTCTTGCTTTTAAAGACTAATGTGATAGCAAAAGATATTTAAAGTTTAAACCGATTATATATTTATTTATTTCTTATAATTAACATTTCTAATAAATAAATATTTTTAATAATATATATACTTATACTTTAAAATAAATAACTATATTTGTTCAAAATAAGTTATATTTTATAATTATCATAGATAATTTATATTGTAGTATAAAATGTTTTTAACAAATATGAATATATATTGTATTATTAAAATATGACAAATAATATTTTAGAATTTATGATAAAAAAACTTATAATTTTATTGTGTGATATATATAACAATAGTTTTAATTATTAAGATGAGGATATATTGGTTATTATTACAAGAATACAATTTTGAAACCTATAAATAAATAATTGTCTTGAATTGTTTGGCTTTCCTCGTATCCATAATCAATGTAATGCTGGAACTTGGACGGCACAGAAAAGACAAAACCATGCTTTGGAATATCAACCCAAACCAATTCCAAGCATTTATCTGCAGAATAGCTAACAATAAAGTTTAGTTTCTCCATCCAATTGGGCTAACTAATATATCAATCCTTGGACAAGATTTATTTTTCTTCTTAAATCTCTTAGTTACAATAGTAATTAATGAGTACACACAATAATTTAGCGTTTTATTCTCTTAGTTACACGCCATGTACATTTATGATTGAGAGATTATTTTCTAACTTTCTGCAGTCAAATTTCAACTCTTATATTTGGCTGAATGAGACCTAAACTCAGATAAAAACAATGGTATAATTGATGTGATTTGCTATGAATGTAATAATTTTTGCAGCTAAGAATCATTCATAATCATATACAACAAATAAGAATGTCTTCTCCAAACTTTGCCATCCTTGTTTCCCAATCCACCAGCTGTATGTGTATATACTTATCATATCAGTAAAGTAAGTAGTTTAGATAGAACCCAGAAGCCAAATTAAATTTACTTGAGTACGAGATTTATTTTGTTCATTTTATTTTTCTTCTTCAACACATTCCAATATATCAATCTCCATAATCATGCCACCAGCAGTGTCATATACTTTTGAGTCAGAGAGAGACCCTGTGAGATATGTGCATACAGTTTCAGAGGCTGGTCGCGTTCTTCCTTCGGCTAGCCGCTGGAACTCCATAGCACTTAACTTTAAACTTGCTCGTGACTCTTCCACTGCCTACGAATCTATCCCTTCCCAATACCCGAAGTCTGTTGACTACAATCTTGTTATCACTGACAGGAGACACTTTAATTGTTTTATTTTTGTTCTTGTAACAATAATTTTTGCCATCCTAGCAGCTGTTCTCTTGGTGCATTTTTTACAGCAGAAGCACAAATATCAAGGGTCTTCAATCAATCTCAAAGTAGCAATAAACCAGGCTCTAATATTTTATGATGCCCAAAAATGTACTACTTCTATTTGTGCTGCTACACTTTTTTTTTTTTGGTGTAGTTCAACTAAATATATATATTTTTTTTTTTTGGCAGCTGGACCCTATCCAAGGAACAGTACAGTGAAATTTCGTGGAGATTCAGGATTACAAGATGGGGATTCGGCTAAGACTGATCTTATTGGTGGATTTTATGATTCTGGCAACAACATTAAGTTTACCTTCACCACAGCTTATACTATGACCTTGTTGAGTTGGACTGTTATGGAATATCAAAGTAAATATGCTGATATTGGTGAACTTGATCATGTTAGGGACATCATTAGATGGGGTAGTGACTACCTGCTCAAGGTGTTCATTCCCCCAAATTCCGCAACTGGATCAAACTTGACACTGTATTCCCAGGCAAGTTACAAATCTTTTTGTAGGGAATGAATCTTCTCATGTATATGTAATATGACACATTATGTTCAAATTTTCGGAGTATCGCGAGAGAGATACAACAAAACTTGGATTAATGTTAACATTTTCTACGAGAGGATTCAGTATCATTTTTTTGCCATAACTCCTATTCTGAATTACGTACTAATAGTTATGACTAGAAATTGATCTTCTTTTTTATTCAATTTCATTAGGTTGGAAGTACTATTAGTATTAACAATGAACCTAATGATGTGAGTTGCTGGCAACGACCCGAAGATATGAAATATGAGAGACCAGTTTCAATTTGTGATGGTTCTGCTTCAGATTTAGCTGGTGAAATTGTGGCAGCCTTGTCTGCAGCATCGATGGTATTCAAATCAGACAAAGATTACTCAAAGAGACTTGTGCAAGCAGCCGAAAGCCTCTTTGGCGCAATACCTACAAAACAAGGGATCTACACCATGGATGATGTATGTGGGAAACAAGCAAGAATGTTTTATAACTCAAACAGCTATGAAGATGAGTTGGCTTGGGGAGCAACATGGTTATTTCTTGCCACGGAAAACACTAATTACCTTGCAACTGCAACTGCAACTTTATTTTCTGCCAAAAGTAATGAATCAAGTGTTGACAAAGGGGTCCTTTACTGGAATAACAAGCTCAATGCTGTGGAGGTAACTTCAATAGATACACGAACTGCATTTCCAGGAGAATTTGAGAAAAAAATCTTAACATGGTTTTGTTTTTAATCTGATCTTTGTAGGTTTTGCTAACCGGTATTCGATACTTCCGTGATCCTGGCTTCCCATATGAGGATGCTTTGAAACTTTCATCTAACTCTACCGATGCCCTCATGTGTTCTTATCTATTCAATAAATACTTTAGCAGGACACCAGGTAATTAATTTTATGATCGATTGCAACATACAGCATTTGTCTGTTTGTGATTATTTACCTATGTGTGCCCATGCGTGTTATGTATGTATATGACATTATGTTAAATATAATGCTAGGTGGATTGATTATCCTGAAACCTGATAATGAGCCATTACTCCAGTTTGCTGCTACGGCATCTTTTCTCAGTAAATTATACAGCGACTACCTTGATCATCTCAAAATGTCTGGTGCAAGTTGCAAGGCTGATGCATTCTCCGTGAAAATGCTTCGAGACTTTGCCACTTCTCAGGCAATTCCTAGCTTCCTTATCATTTGGTTGTTGCATGTAAATTGGGAAAAGTCCAATTATGTTTCCTTCTGTTATGTGTTTTTCAGGTTAACTACATCTTGGGGCAAAACCCTATGAAAATGAGTTATTTAGTGGGCTATGGTGACAGGTATCCAGTCCAAGTTCATCACAGAAGTGCATCAATCCCTTGGAATAATCAACCCTACAATTGTGACGATGGTAAAAGATGGCTAAACTCTAAAGATCCAAATCCACAGGTTCTTTTGGGAGCCATGGTGGGAGGGCCAGACAGTAATGATAATTTCATGGATCAGAGGACCAACCAAAAGTTCACTGAGCCGAACATAGCCAGCAATGCGGGTCTAGTTGCAGCACTGATTGCACTTCAAGATCCTCCTTATAATTCACGTGACTTAAAAAACACATTGTGGGGATGGACTTGATCTATATTTGAACATGTCCATTGGATTCTGGACCATAAGCATGTGCATTAAACGTCAATCCTTTTGATTGATGAAATTTTAAAGATGCTGTACGAGTCATCTAATGTAAAGTTTACACATCTACCATGCAATTTTGTGTGGGGACAGACCCGAAAATTAGTTATTTTAGGATTTTTTTATGCAACCAAGGTGTTATATTCAATAGTGAAATTATTTGAAAAATGAAAAATCTTGTCATGCAAAATACTTAATTTGGCTAAACGTTTAACAGTATCTTCAAGGTTTTCGTTTCCTCACAATAGCAAAAAACTGTTTGTGGAAGGAACCAAGGAAAGCGAAAAAGAGTAGCATATCATTTTACTTTCGAAAAATTGTCAGCACTGCAGCATGTTAGCTCCTTCTATAACCCAATACAAAAAGAAATGATTGGCTCAAATAATAGCAAACATAGATGTAACTGAAATTTAGATGAATTTTTAATGCAGGAGTTTGGAAGCCTGTTGGTGAAACTGAAAGCCAACTTTATCTAAATGAGGTTTCCTTCTTTGATTTGAAAAATACTTCTCTATCATCCTTTCTTGTGTATAAACTAACCTTTCACATTTGTCACATTCAACTTGAATTAACTTTGAATGTTTTGGATGTAACATGACTCTAAATTAGATCCTCCATGTAGACAAAGTAAATTCAACTTGTACAAATTTGATGTATAATATCTATATTGAGAAACCGAAAGCAAACTTGTAATTACATATATGTGGGACGAAAATTTTACTATACAAGCTATTTACAGAGAAACAGTGAGGAGGGAAGCCAAAATATACACTACACAAAGCTGTACATGAGTTCTTCCATCTTCAAGATGACTTAATCCTGTCCAAGTTATACACTTTCTGCAAATTATTATTAATAAGGTAAGGCGACAGAAAATTGAATGAGCATGACTGATATATGCTATGTTAGGAAGCATGAGAGAAGCTTACAAGAATACAATGAACATCCTCAAGAAAAGGCACAAACAAAGAAACTAAGATCTGCATTTGCTCCTTTAGGGTGTCACTGTTTTCATCTCTTTCCTTGAGGAGATCCATGAAAGTTTGACTATCTGGCACTAGTTTTATAGCCACCTGCAGCAGTATTCCTGTTAGTTCAGCAAGAACCAATTGCACAATTTCGGTCACCACGCTAGACAGTGCAAGTTTTATTTAAAGCACAGGATTTCGTGAGGTCAAAAAGTTAATAAATAAATTTCCAGGAGCAGACAAGTTGAGGATAGCTTGTAAAAGCCATCAACAAGCATAAAATAGATTGAACAGAAGAAAGAGAAGAGCAAGTGGTTATTACTCTGAAAGCTGCTGACGAAATCCATCCGTGCCATGGTGACAAGGTTGCATCATAAGACTCTTGAACTATTTGCTCCATATTCTTTTTAGGATCGATTTCTAGTGCGTGTAATAATGCTGAAGAGAAATCCAGGGATCTGTAGAGTGGCACATCTGTGAGTAAATATTAAGCAACTTACACAAAGGGAATATACTGTACACTGAAAGATAATTTCCTCTGTTATTTAATCTAAGTAACAGTTATTAGCCTGTTGTTTTTTCTCAGCAATTTTTAGAGCTGAAAGAAACTGATGATACAACCTAAACCCAAGTGTGAGGAACAACAAAATAGTAAAAGAAAACAAAAGTTAATATATGCATAAGTTTACCTAGTGAGCCAAAGAAAGGCTTTACTACAACTAAACCTCTTCCTTGCGTTGCCCTTGCTAGCTTCCGATTTCAATATTTCAACCAAATTTGAATTCATTGAGGGGTTCAATTCATGCATCATTTCCAATCTCTGCAGAGACATAGAACTCAATAATTGGTAATTGACTGTTCGATCAATATGCAATTATATCCTAACTGAAACACTAGCAATCAATACACCTCATACAACTAGACAAGAAACACAAAATATTGAAGATCCCAATAATTGTCATGCAGAGATAGTTTCCTTCAACTGAACTGAATCAATTGATAGTTTCAAATTTAAATTAGTACCTTAATATTCTGGTGAATGTCTTGTCTCAAAACAGCCATCGTTGGACCTATCTTATCTGCAAGAGAGCATCAATCAAGCATAATGACAATGTGTTTGGTGTTACATCACATTCATGTTTTCAAATAAAAACAAGCTAATAAACCCACCAAGAACCTGTAGAACCATGTAGCATAGAGATAGGAAAGGCTTGGTGGGGATGTGTGCAGTCTCATGATTTCCTCCAGGTTTGACTATAGCCAGCAAGGACAGCTCTTCAATGGCAGAGTTTATCTCTGATCTCTTCTCCATATCTCTGCTCCTCTTCATTCTTCTTATTATCTTCCCTCCCTCTCCCTCTTCCACTTCTCTGATGTACAAACATGAAACTTATCTATGTAGCTTCCAATACCCAAGTTGGCTTCTCTATTAATACCTCTAGCTAGCTAGCTTGAAGCCTTGAACTTCAAACAGTAATTAATTGATTGAAATATAAATATTATACTTGCTCCCAGATAGAGAAAGAGAAAGAGTAACAGAAATTTCAAAATTTTGATCAAGTGGTTGAACCAAGGAGTGAATCTTGCTTTGCTCACCGTGACAATTATTTAATTGTTCTACACATCTGGTAAAACAGCTAGTTTGGCTTCAGCTTCTATTTTGCTATTGATTTGTTAATAATATTCTTGTGCCATCAGTTTCCTCTGTAAGTCATTGATGGTGACTGTATATTTGACCTTGTAGTTATCATCAATCCCTCCCTTACCTTATGTTAATAAAACATTATCCGAATAAATCAAAATTGTATAGGTCCCATGCTGAAATTGACAAGGCAAAAGATTCTAGCCGTTTATCTGGAGCTGTCATTAGCTATAGCCTTGTTAGTTGTTACTGCTACTTAATTTTTATACATTTTGGTGTTAAATGTTGCCCTATTGGGCCTTGCTTCAGAACTGAAATAGTTTGATTTGCTTTAACAATTGGGCAAGAATGTACTATTCCTTAGGGCCCTTCCATATGATGAACAGAACAGTATGGTTCATCACAGGGACAAACCAACTTTGTTTTGTTTGTTTGACTTAAAATAAATTACTAAAATATTATGAAAGAAGTTTTTTTTTTTCTGATAGAAGCTATTCAATCATAACTTGTCAAATTAGTCTAACATTTTTTTTTCATTTTTTAAAAATACTATAACATTTTAACATATTTTTATGGTTAAATATTGAGATGATAATTTAAAACTTATTTTTATGACATGAATATTGAAAAACATATTTGTTATCTTGAAATAAAGTAAAATATTGAAATAATTCCATACCTAAGAATATGTTATAGTTTGTTGATTTTTCTTATAGTAGTTGACTTTAATACAAGTTTTGTTATTATGTTCATAAGGGATTTGTTATCATAAAACACTCCTAATCTTAACTTTTGCTATCCTTGCTTGTTCACTAAAAGAAAAGTAATTTATTCAAGTTCCTTTCCATATACAAACCATGCTTTAGTGTAGATATTAATTTTATAATTACTACGTATTACACAAGTCATGGAGGGAACATTACTCTTTCTCATCATTCTTCTAATTACATAATTTAACACACCTATAATAATTCAAGCAGTATAATTTTTTTTAGGTTGTAACAACGAAAATATTTTGAAGGGAGAAAACTTGCTCATTGTGAGATAGTTTTGTTTTGGGAACACACTTGTGCTCTATTTTACAAGAAATTTCAACATCAGAGTAGTGCATTTTTTATTTGAATGGTCAAATTTTTGTTTCTTCATGTTTTTGGGGTTACTGTTATTATATCTTTATTATTATTTATTGGTGATTGTTGTTCATAATATTTTCTACTTTTTATTGAAAATGAATTGGGATAGTTATTGATATTTTTTTTATTGGAGACACTTTGTTGTACTTACTATTTCTTTAGTAAATATTTTCAAGGATTATGTTAATTTTTCCATAATCTCACATCATTTCTTGAATATTTTTAAAAGCGAACAAATTCATTTATCTCATTCATTATTTTTGTTTTATTTAACCAAATTTTTCAAATGTGTGTTTCGGTGGAATCGATTGGTGATTGTGTAGGCATTTTATTATATTTTTTAATTTTAATAAATTATAATTTAATCTATTATTAATTTTAAAATATAAATATTTACTCTAAAAAATATATATTATTAAAGATAAATAAACGTAAAAGAAACTAAAAAAAATAAAAATGTATAATTAAGAAAATAATAAAAAGATGGATTTATAAAGATAAATAGAAAATTATTTTTATTTATTGATTTATATTTAAAAGAAAAGATGGAACATTATTTAAAATTGAAAAAAAATATTTTTTAATTAATTTTATTTATATTTGTATTTTAAAAAATTAGAAAAAGATTTAAATAAAAGACTAAAGAAAAAAATGTATAAGATAAACAATATATATTAAATTATGAAACCATAAACAGTTAAAAAAATTATATACTATTAGAGATTAAATTATTCATTTAATATTTATTAAATTTTTCGTGATTACTTTAACATATCTATTATCATACTATAGTCATTGTCTCCATCATATTGGTTCTAAAATAGGCTGAACTATTTTCGTAATTAGTAAGTGTACACCTCTTTTTGGTTTATCCAGAGTCTCTTCTTCCTGGAATATAAAATGTTGGAGAAACACTCTTAGTCATACAATGTTTTGTTTTACCAACCATGAATGTGGTCATGCTAACATCTCATTGGTGTGCCATTCTTTTGTAACAATGTCGTACAATTGCTTAGGCACTTTTAGATATTACCACCTCTTCAATTGTTTTATGCCAAAATGATTATATGAAATCTTTCATAGCAAAATTCCCCTTTTGAGGCAGAAATCATTATTATTTTTTGTGAGAGTTATTCTGTTTTGCAACTGGTCCATCAACCAGACGACAAATCTCCAATCATAGGTTTTTGTCCTTGGACTGAGTTTTCTTGTTATTGGTTCATACGTTATGTGTAAATCTTAAGATAAGATGGGTTTTCAATTAAAGTTTACGTTGATTTGGCATTAGCAATTGCTTACCTGCAGTGGGCTAGTTGATGGTGAGTGGATAGGGTTCCTCATTTGAAATTTTACACTTACATCAGCATTCCATTGTTAATAATATATTTCCCCTGATTTATCTTCAGCCATCACCGCAAAATATTGTTTATACTATTAGCATCATATATTATGCAAGTACTTTTGGGTTCGTGTCTTGAATTCATATCCCTTACATAACATTATTGTTCCAGTAAAAGGAAGGAATAAGTGGAATCAACTGTTTTAAAAAAATATATTAAAGGAATATATTATGATTCTCTTAAAAAAAATTATTTGTTTAAATTAATCTCATTTTCTTGTTTTGTCATCTATTATAAATTTATGTTGTCTTTAAAAAAACCATCTTACTAAATTAATATATATATATATATATATATATATATATATATTATTATTTTAATTTCAACTTTTAACTAATATAAAATCATGAACATAATATATATATATATATATATATATATATAATAAAAAAGTTTTTACGAAAAATTATAATATTATAATATTTGAGAATGTATGATTATTTCGTTATGTAATCTTTTATATTATTAATATATTTTAAATAAATTTATTTAAGTTTTGATAATACAAATTAAATGTTTAAAATTTTATTTAAAAGGCATAAAATTTATGGAATATGCATATTTTTCTTTCTAAAAGAATTTAGTAATATTTTTATATTATGTTGTTCTTAAACTGGCGGGTAAAATGGTGTGATATTAAACTGAGGAGATTGGTTGATCGTGTTTAGAATTTTGACTTCGTCTTCAATTTTGATAATGTTGAATAAATTTCTTTGGAATGAACATAGACTCGCATATAAAATATTATGAGAGAAAAAAAAAATTTGAAAATGATGGATGAGGTGAAATTTAATCTCAGGCTAAGTTTCCTTATATAGGACACAGAAGACAATAATAGCACTACACATAATAATTGATAGCCCAAAAGATAATAATTTATATATTATATAATAACAAATAAAAGATAATTAATAATATGTAATAAGATAATTAAATAAATAAATTAGTTTTTAATAAATTTGAGTCGGGTAGACACACAAGCCCAATAAGCTCAAAAGTTGAATTCGTTTAAAAATAGAGTTTAAACAAATTTAAGGTTAAGTTTATCATTTTATTAAGTAGCATTTAATTTCAATGGATTTATTTTATCAATCATTATTAGGTTAGACCAAGGTATATTTGTAAGATTTATTTGTCATGTAGAGATATTTGATAACTCGTATAATTCATATGACCCCAAGTAAGGTAAATGCGGGCTTTGGTAAGTTGTATGACCCTAAGTAAGGTAAATGCAGGTTTTTGTAACTTGTATGATCCCAAGTAAGATAATGCAAGCACTACAAGAAAAACATCAAATATTTTAGTGACCGATTCAGTGACCGATTTAGTGACCGATTCAGTGACCGAATCAGTGACCGAATCAGTGACCGATTCAGTGACCGATTCAGTGACCGATTATATATAACCAAATCGGTCACTGAATCGATCACTAAATCAATGAAAAAGTTAATCAATAACAAATTTAATTCTTTTTATTTATTTACACATCAATAACAAATTTAATTCTTTTTATTTATTTACACTTTTATTATATCTATTATTTATTTTCCCTATCTCTTAATTATATTATATTTTGCTTATTTAAGTTTTTATTTATATTTATTTCCCCTATCTTTATTATATTTTTTAGAAGTTTAACTTATTATAAGGTGGTTTATTGTCATTGTCAGGATTCGAACCGGTACCTTAGAGTTGGAGGTTGAAACTCCAACCATCGAGCTACTTAGGATCTTTTAATAATAACTTACAAATAAATTATATTTATATACAAATAAATGTATATCCGCATAAATATATAAATATAAAATCTATAAATAAAAATATATTTATATATTTTAATATATAAAATCTACAAATAATGGTATATTAGTATAGTATCGTATATTTGTATTCTAATTTTTAATTAAATTAAAATTATGCTAATAATGTATATTAATATATGAGGGGATAATATTGATATATTTGTATATATATATATATATATATATATATATATATATATATATATATTTATATATATTTATATATTTATATATTGATATATTTATATATTAATATATTTATATATTTATATTTTTATATTTTTATATTTTGATATATTTATATATTTATTTATATCCTTATATATTTATATCTTTATATATTTATATATTTG